ACTTTGCACACAGACTATCAAAACAAATGCTCAATATATTAATGGACAAAACTTTATTTTATTTTATTAAAAATACTTCACTAAGAAATATGACTTTTTGTACGTGAAAGACTTGTAATATTAGCTGAAAGACTGCCAGATTTCATGAAGATATACCCAATATATATAGAGAGTTATAAGTATTAAATTTATGTCAACTTTAAACAAGTACAGAAGGTCACGTGACTCAGCCCTAGGAACCGAGCCCATGTAGAAAGAGTTAATTAAGTTTTTGTCCTTTGGTCAAGCTTTTGTTATTTTTGGGTTTTCAGATACTATTCTCTTTTGAACTAAACATTTTTCTACACTGAAAATGTATTTCTGATAGATATTTAGTTCCACTCACAGAATAGCTTTCTTTGATTTGTTCTACCCACTAGAGGTGCAATTTTCACCTGCCAATAGCCTTAATGCTCCCACTTACCCTCACGTGTTTTCACGTGGTATAGTTGTGCTGTAGCATAACAGCTAGAAATTCCACATTGAACTGGTGGAGGGGCCAGAGCAAAAGTTACCTAGATGAACACTCTTTGAAAGGCACTCAAAAAGAACCTATGGAGTGTGATGCCCCAGTGTGTAAGGTCACACCCATAGGAGACTGCACCCTATTTGTACAAAATATACTCTTCACCTGTTGTAAAGATACGTGTTGCTAAATCGGGCAGAAAAGTATTTCTAATCTGTAAGTGGATGTGTCAGATGGTGTAGAGTGGCTAGGGCACATCAGGCCATAATTGGTGGGTCAACTCCCATCCAAAACCAGACAGCATCGTGTATTTGTCTTCCAGTCCATAGTAGAAGGAGAGTCCCGATCACTTTACCTAAAGCCATGAAAGCATACAGAAAAAGCAACGTCTGCAAACCCAGTACACAACCAACACCAGGCCTCCTGGAAACCCAACAATCTTGGTTATAGTAGGAAGGGGAATGCAAATATGGTAGATCAACAACAGTCCAAAACCATGTGGTGGCAGGAATTTTTCATCTTATCTGTGGTAGGAGGAGGGTCCCTACCAACCACATGTGTGATGACTTATGCTAGCTGGTCCTATGCCAATCCAACACTGGATTAGCTGTAAATCGACATACAGGCAGTAATAGGATGGAGTAATGCCAGCTGGAGGGGTGAACTGCATGTGGTGGATTCCTGCAGCCCAAAACCAGGCAGCATTGGAAATTTCTCTTCCAGTCTGCAGTAGGAGGAGAGTACTCATCAACCACACAGTGAGCATTATAGACCTGTCAAGTCATATGGTGCAGATTTATAGTTAAGTATACTTGAACAGGCACCACTGTAATGGTAAGATATATAAAAAGAGAACTTACCCATTAAGAGTCAATAAGGGGTATATAGTATGGTAATAGAAAAAAGTCAATATCCAGAAGAAGAAGAGACAGTCAGAAGACGAAGAAAATGTGTAATGAAAGTAAATGGGGTATTCCACACGTCAATTTGCAGGAACTCCACCAACAGATAACAGAAGTAAAGAGCCAGAGATAGTAAGGTGTGGCATTTGGGGATGTGAAAATACATCCAATGGATGAAGTGTTGTAGCCATCCCTTGAGAGTAATATGAAAAATATCTCAGGGAGATGAGTAATTCAAAGAATAAAGAGATGGGAACATGAAATATGAAAAGGAGCAGAGTGGGCCAAAGAACAATAAACCCTCATTGATGGGACAAAGAAAACACTTCGGAACTGAATGAGAATATGGATAAATGGAAAGAAAAAATATAAGTAGCAATGGCATACTCATCATAACTCCTACAGCCACAAGCAAAAGATAAGTAGGAACTAAGTGAAAGGTGGTAAAAGGAACAAGAGACTAAAGGGTCAAAGAGAGGAAGGGTAATGGTGTGAAGAATAATATTCAGATCAAAATGAAGAAGGACTACAAAATGAGGAGGATGAAGATGTCAAAACTAACAAAAAAGCATAGAAAAAAATAGGAGAATACATGACAATAATAAGAAAATCTTAAAGTATTAGGTAGAGTTGCCGGGTAACCAGCCATGGTTGAAAGTGATAAGCTTTTCTGAACAGCCAATGAAAGCATTTGGAAAATTGAGGAATAGAAGGAAGAAAATGGAAAAAAAAACATGATCCAGAAACCAACTATGGAATATGCATCCTTTTCATGGATAGACAAGGAGGGAAGAAGAACAAACTGAACATGAAAGAAGGAAGGCTATTAGTTAAAAGTCAGGAATGTCTTGCAAGGGACAGAACCAGACTACATGTGAAGCCAGAGTGACAACACTGCTAGATGGGAGATGGAGGAGTGAGGTTGGAGTAGGAAGAGTGACAAAGGTAGAGGATACAAGAAGGTGCAATAGAAGAATCTATAGCTGAACTAGTCAGTAAGGAGTTATTAGGAGGACTCAGAATGGAGTGTCCAAAATGAGAGAAAAAAATAAGAGAAAAGACAAGAAGGAGGGTAGGTATGGAGAAAAAAGTTGGATCAATCCTAACAGAACGTGTCCCCCAGCTAAAGCTTAGGGAACAAGAACAGAGGACCAGAAAAGGGGGAAATCAGAGTGGCAAAAACCTCAATAAGAAGAGTGTCCAGATGAGAGCACAGTAACTTGAACACTAGAGGAACGAGATACCAATCTGTAGGTATTATCTTAATAGACCTCGATATTAGATGCACTTGTAAAGAATGGGACCAGAAAAGGAGATCGATAGTACAGAAACAAGGAGAGCAAGATGAAATGTCCCCCTGATGATTGACAAAGTCGACAACTGCAGAATTGACCGTATGTATCATCAAGAGATATCTATGAACCATCCTAAAAGAATCCAAAATTTGATGTATCCCCAAAAGTTTTTAGAGATGGATTCAAAAGGATGAAATGTCATAGTAACGATTACCCTAATTCATGCTCCCCATCTCGTCGAGGTGGCATCTGAAAACAGGAGACCTGGACAAGAGAATACGGAAGATCCACTACGGGAGTAGGTTTATCAAGTCACCAAGTGTAGTCATTGAGTAAGGAAGGAGAATGGTTGAAGACAAACGATTCCAAGCTGAGAATTTGTAGTCCATTGAGGTGTCACAAATTAGCACAACCCAAAGGAATACAGGATTCCATGGGAGCAACCCCCCCCCCCCAAAAAAAAGAAGAGAGAACCTCCCACAAAGAGAGAGAAGGAGAAGAAATGGCATGGGAAACCAACTGCTCTAAGTTTCTCAAAGGAAGCAGAAGAACAGGAGACAGAGACAAAGAAGAAGCACAGGGAAGACAAGAAACCTGTGATGGTAACGCATAACATTGGTATGCAGACCCAACATATAATGCTATAGATACAAGCATGCCAGTAAAATCATACAGGCAGATGAAAGGAGCCAGAAGAAGGCAAGTTAGATATAAAGGGGTCAAAAGCAATTGAGTAACAAAGGCATCAAGATTCAACCAACTCTAACAGAAGATCAACCAAATAAGACGTGAAAATGCCAAGGAAAGGTGGATTACCATGGAAAGAAGGTGAAACAGGGAAAAATAGTGGAAAAAAATAATGTGTGTAGGATGAAAGTAAGAACTTAACCTAAGAAAGACAACCAAAAGATAGGGGATTTAACCCTCAAATCTAAAGAAAAGACTCCAGAGTTTAGGAGTCAAAGTCAAGTAAAACAGCATGAGCTCATGCCTAGTTATATGAGGTAACAAAGTAAGGAGGAAGAAGCATGTATGCCTCAAAGGAATGTTAAAAATAACTGAATATGTAAACAACAAACCTGAGAAACTAGTCACGAAATCACAAAAAAGGCTGAGACAGAATCAGGACAATATGGGTATAAGAATTGGCAAAACCAGCAAAATCTCTTCAGTCACGAATGA